CCTCGGGGATGCTGTTTAATGTTCCTGTGCTGCTAGGCCCGCCCATACCAAACTCAAATTGTGTTAACTGCTGCTTTTCCAAGATCTTCATATGGCCCTTGCTATGGACAGCAACTTCCCAAGGCCATTCTAATGTGGGTTCTGATACCACCATGGTACTCGTTCATGCCTGCTGCTTCTGCCTTGGGCTGTTCCTGGCTTGCTCACGAACCACAGACAAATGAAAGAGCTCAGAAGAAGGCAGGTTGCAGGCGGGCCAGCCAGGGCAGTAGGCTGTCCAGCTGCTGAATGGAATTGGGTTCCAGGGAGAGCCTGCTTTTGGCATAAGGATCCTCCTACAGCTGTCGGTGTGACTGGTGTGCTGCTCGCAGTGCTCTCCTCCCCTGCTCTTCCTCTCTGCCTGTGAATGCCCCATTCTTTTTGTCTTTACAGTCCCTCGGATCAATGGCCACCCGAAGCTGGAGAGACACCGTGAGCACCCTCCTGGTTATGACAGCTCCTCTACCATGATGAGCAGTGAGCTGGAGTCCAGCAGCTTCATCGACTCTGATGATGACGACAACACAAGCAGGTAGTTAAATAGTTTGCATCTCTTTCCCAGCCACTTGACTATTCTGGGCTTTCCTCAAGCATGCTGACTGGTGAGATGAGAAGATTTATGTCTTCTGGGGTTTTTTTTCCTTCCTTTTTTTTTTTTCTGCCACATATGATTCAAGCCCTGATAATCCATCAGTGCCATCATGTTGTATGTAATCACCCCTCTGAGAAACAAGCTGAGTTGCTGGAGTTGCTGTCCAGGCTGCCTATAGCCACTGTTCCACTTAAGAGCAAAATTCTGTTTCTGTTCTTTCTTTTTAATAGCAAGAATAATCACATTTTAAGATCAAAGCAACGTGCGAGTGTCTACCTATTAATAAAGTAATGGTGTGGGTATTGTAACAAAATACCTTCAGCAGAGATTCCTAATAAATAGCCATTTCACTAGAGCTGAATTGCAAAGGAATTCCTAGGTAATTGCAGAGTCTGAGACCTGTGAGCAGCATAGAAATTCATCAGAGTTAGTAGTATTACAAAGGCAGGCTGTGATGCCACATATTTATGACTTCTTAATTATTTGTTTCTTATTGTGCAGACAGAGAATGTGTTATTCCTTGCCGTTTGCAAAAAAAGCTCTCCATTTCAAGAGATCCCTGTTAACCTCTAAAGATATTTTTGTTGTTCTGTAAGAGGTTTATAAGCAAATACATTTTTTTTTCCAATCAAAATCAATTAAAACTAATATTCTTCCCTTTGCTGGCTGCAGTAACAGCATTCTCTGAACACTGTCTCTAGAGCTGTTGTTCATTGAAACGAGCTATGAAAACCCACCACAGATTTCTATTAATTGTCACAAAACAATAAAATTACAGATCTGTGGTGGTTCAGAGAGATCCACAGCTAAAACAAATAAGCTGCAGTGTCATATTCTTAAATTTTAGGTAGACTGGAAACAGCAAAGAACAACTAGTCCTGGAGATACTTAAACATAGGCTATGTTTGCAAACAGATTATTTGCTTCTTGAACTCAGTGGAGCTGTTTGGTCTTGCAGATAGTCATAGCTTAAAAACTTGTTGAAGAGCAGCAGTCCCTTGAAATTCTGTTTTCAGGCTGGGTGTTTCCAAAGGGTTGAAAAAATAACTAAATGAACATGTAAGGTTTGGTCCTGAATTGGTTTCAAGAATTTATTTTGCAGTTGGAGTGAAGTTGCCAGCACCTGAAGATGCAGAAAATTAGGATGCTTTGTACTCCACCTAGATATTCATAAGGGTTGGCAGGATCAGTAGTTACCTTTAAGCCTTCCTAAAGCCTTTAGGGCTCCTAACCCCCCTTCCCTCCTTAAAAATCAAGCCCACAAAACAACAACAACCACCACCCTGCTTCTTGTAAATAAATTAATCATTTCCATGGCAGCAAGATATGCAGTAGGGCAGGATTAGCACAGTCAGGGTGGCCACTGGAGCACGTTATACTAGAGCCAGCTAACTCTGTCTAGATTAATAAAGTAAAGCTTCCTGCATCTGACCTGAGAAGAAAGACTCTTCCAAGCTGCTGCACAGGCCTTTTCCTTTCTAGGCTAGGGCAGAAGCTTTTGGCACAGGGAAGAGCTGCCAGGCCAGCTAGTCAGGAAGGACAAGTGAATGGAATGCTCCAAGGTATGCTGTTGTGCTACGCTGATGATGTTCTCAAGCAGATGAGAGATTGTGCTGGCAGGGAGAAGTTTTCTTTAGAGGCAAAACCAGGCAAAGAGAAAATGGAGCATGCTCCAGATCTGCTGGAGACAGGGGCCTGGGGAAACAGAGGTTTGAAGGGGGTAAGTTTGTTTAATAACAGCTGGTGAACTCTGGTGGCAGAACCTGCGTTGTAAAGGAGATGGTGTGTGGAGGAGGTCACTGAGAGAAGGGGTCAGATGTGAAGGGTGTTACTGTCTTGGAAGTGAAGGGGTTGTCAGGCTGAGGATGCCTTTCCAACAGCCTGTGTTTGGCATCCATTTATTTTATTTGTAACTTGGAGCAGTGCAGCAGAGTTGGTTCATTCCCAGTCTGAGGAAATTCTGTTGAATTTAGAGAGAGAGAATAATTTATCTCAGTGAATTGATTTGTTTATGGATGTTAGGGGACAGTGCAGAACCCTTCAGGTAGTGTGAAAGCAATAATTTATTTCCTTTGTTTTCAAAGCATGATATAATTGAACATTAATGTTATTTGCAGGTAGTAGGTGGTATTTTGACTACAGATGTAGGGAGCTCGTGGTGAACTTTACAGTAAGAGTCTTAATTCTGTTTTCTGTTAAGGAAATAAAGGTCTAGCAGATATATAACATCTGTAGCTGCAGGATTATTGTCAGCAACTTGCACTTGGCATTCTGTTTGATGTAACTAAAAAATTTTGCTGCAAAAACAATTGCTTAAGTTTATTTCTTGTTTAAGAAATTAACATTTGTTCTTTTTAAACTATATGGATGAGCTTTCTTCAACAAATTACCTTTTTTTCCCCTCCTTTGGGGAATGTAGATTAAACAATATTCTTAAAAATCTCTTCTGTGGGATTTATTCACCTTTTTTTTTAGAACTGCAGTTAAGGTTCTGGCCAGTAGCTAGTGCAGGAAATTGGTTGTTATGATTCTAGATTTGTTTTTCATCTTTGCACTTCTTTTTTCCCAAAAGCTCAAATTTACCATCTTGTTTTACTCATCCAATTGTAATAATTAGGCACGGGGAAGAGGGAGAATATTGACAGTAAAATGCAAGAGGAGGATTGTGTCAGTCTTTGTCAGTACTTTGAAGAAGAGTGGTGAACGTTCCAGAAGTTTAGGCACGGGGAAGAGGGAGAATATTGGCAGTAAAATGCAAGAGGAGGATTTTGTGTCAGTCTTTGTCAGTACTTTCAAGAAGACTGGTGAACGTTCCAGAAGCCCCATTTTGGGAGCCCTGCACCTGAGAGACCTCTTCATTTTTCCTGTTGAAGAGGGAAAGCCTCAGAAAACCAGGTGCTGTGAGCTGCTTCCACCGAGGAGAACTATCAGATTTCTGATCTCTTTTGAAAACACCAGCTCTTGGCTCTTTAAACTAATTTGCCTTGCTGGGAGGGGAGAAAAGGAGTGTGTGAGGTTAACATGCCTGAAATAGTTTAGTGAACTCAAAGGGAAAGTCAGGAGCTTCACACCCTCGGAGCAGTTCCACCGTGTCAGTAACGCTCCGCTCCGCATGCCTGACTGAAACAGCTCCACTTGGGGCAGGATGGGTTTCCCAGTGTGGTGGGCTGTAATCTCAGGGCAGCAAGCTCCTTTTTGAAGCTGCTGGTATCAAGTTTTGCC